CGCACATTGACTTTTCTTCTCTCTGCTCTCATTATTGTTTACCCATTTTCTATTGTTGTATATGTATATATATATATAGAATTTGATTTCATTGATTTTTTCCTTCTTCATTTCATTAATTAATGTGAGCCGTTTAATTTGAAAGTGACCTAACTCCATTTTCCAAAAAAATCTAGTTATTTTTGTTCATTCATTCATTCAGAAACAATTTCTTAATACTAGATATACCACTATTTTCAATACACCTATTTCTACCACATTAGTCAAAATGACTGGTGTATTAAAAAAATACTTTTTGAGGCCTCCAATCTTTATTTACTCTTAAAAAATAACAAAAAAATTTTTTAAAATAATAATTATAATAGATAATTGGATTTATAGACATTTTAAAAATAACAAAACGCTTAATTATTTACAGAAATCAAATGTTACATGAAGTAGAAATTTTGAATTAAAATGGCCCGACTAGTCAAAATGACTGGTCTGGTATATATCTAGTGTTAATAATAAATATATGTAAAATCATGAAGATTTTGTAAGAAGAAAATTTGTTGATTAACCACTTGACATACAATGACATTATTTATTTCATGTGCCATTGTAGACTTGGACGTTTCCAAAACGTCAAAAATTGTTTTTGGCTGTTTCTGCTTGATAAAGTATCACACGTTACAAAATTATTAAATTATTATTTTATAGTATTAATTAATTAATTATCAATCTTATTGAATTTTATAAAGCAATGTAAATTTCAAAAAAAAAACCGCGCATTTTATTTGTATGTCAAGTGATTAATGAAGTGATGAAAAAGAGTTTGTTTTGAAAGTGGCCTAAATCCATTCTTGATAAGAAAACTCATATTATTCACTTAACAATTGATATTATTTTAACAGAAACTACAAATTGAACTCCTTTAGGATACACTCAAGCAGTATAACTCATTAATATCCTGTACATAAATTTGTAATTGCATTAAAACACAAACTTAACTCCATTAGGCTAACTAACCCACTTTCAAAATAAACGGCTCATGGAAAATTTTTGTATTCTAATATCGCAAAACTTGATAAATTATTATTATTGTTAATAATCACCTGGTGGGTGGTGGTGATAAAAATATATATTATATTTAATTAAATGTATTTCGGTTAAATGTTATAAATAAACAAAGTGCAACTGTCCGGTGTATAAAAGAAAAAATAAATAAATAAATAAGATTACAAGTAAATTGAAAACTGGAATGATGATGAAGAGGAGAGATAGCATCTTCATTTGAAATGAATAAAAACACAAATTATAATCGCAGTAGTAAGTTTTTTTCGTTTTAATCTAATAATCGTGCCTTCAATCGTGATTTTTACTTGCTAAAATACTCTCTTTATAAACAACGCGTCATCTTTGTCGTTCACGTTTGAATTTTCAGTGTTGTTAAAAAACAAAATCCGATGAAATAAAACAGAGAGAGAGAGAGAGAGAGAGAGAGAAGAGAACATTGGAAAAAAAAACAAGTTTTTAACAAACGAAGAGACAAACAAAAAACCCATAGTTAGGTAGACAATTGTTAGAAAAAAAAAAATATACAATTTAGACATTTATGTTTGGCGAAATTTGCAAGTATTTTTTCAAGCGTAGATACAACATAATATATATATATATAAATAAAGATCCTAGCTAATTATACAATAGTTTCTCAAGTAACATATACTATAAATACCTCACGTGTATTTGTTACTACGAAATATATGACTCGAATTACAAACCCCACGTTTCACGATTAATTAATAATAATAATAATAATAATAATAATCATGTCAGCCATGTAAATAGACCATTAAGTCCATACGATAAATATAATTTAACGATATATAAGACTTTTAAATTGCCAGAATAAAAATTCAATTACTCTATAAAATACAATTGTGAAATGCGATAATAATAATAATAATAATAATAATAATAGTAAAATAATAACAGTTAACGATAATTTGTGGTGATGAATCTGAACGAAAGAGAGAGATGCGTCGTGTTTGCGTGAGTTCATTAAAAATCCAGCGATTATTTCATGTATGAATGAATTTATTTGATTTTTGGAATCTTGTACACGTAGCCGAAAAAGTTGTAACCTTTGTGAATATATAAATAATAATAATAATAATGATAATAATAATAAAAAGCCACAAAAACCGAACAGAAATTGGAATTGTTAATTACAATAAATAATTCAACTTCCCACACAACCTTTTCCATACAATCCCAATCAAATTGTTTTTATAGGATTATATAGTAAACACGATTTTTTTTTTTTTATATTTTTCGTAGACAAACACAAAATGAAAGTTTTTTTTAACCGATCGTGTTTACAGTTTCAAATGAATGTACGAGTTTTACAATCGTAACACGGGATTCGTTGGTTTTATTCGTCTTAGAAATAAGTCGAAGTTAATGGGTTAATTTCGTATCTTCTTCTATACGTTCTTCCCCGATGTGTTTTCGTATTTTATGATTACGAGCTGTATCATCTAACGTTGCCACATGGCCCACAACGTTACGAGGAATTACCCCTAGGATGCATGTGCACCTACCACCACCATCACCACCATCACCACCACTACCACCCTTCTTGTAGCAATAATACATTTCCCTTTTTTTCGTCTTATTTTTTATTATCTAACCAACGTTAACTCAACTATGCGATTATTTGTACATCGCGTTTGTAGAAGAAAAGGATATCTAAACGAAAATAAAAGAAAATAGGATTTGCAAACAAACATGAATTACTTATATTTTATTTTGGATTGTTTTAAATCGTTAAAATGTTCTCTCTTCTCGTATATACGAGGATTTAGTCGAATAATTGGGAAGAAATACGATCTTGGACTGATGATTATTCTAAGACATCGTTGAAAAGCGACGAGTTCTATGAGGAAATCGCGATGAAATCGTCCAAGGAAGAACTCGATCGTTTCCACGATTGGTTGACAAATAAAATGATTTCTTCGAGAATGGGTCGTCCTTTCGTGGATCCTCCAAAATGATCAACTTCGAAATAATTCGATCGTCGTCGTAATCACCTTCTTCTTGATTAATCTTTATTCCGGTAATCCTTTTTTTGTCACCTGAAATAAAATCACATAAAATAGAGAACACGTTTTTATTTTAAAATGATATATGAGATTAGTATACCTGGCAAAGCAAGAATATCCCAACGGGAATTGTCCAAAGCATTAGCTACAGCATCCAATTCAGTGTCCATTTCCGTTGGACTTTCCAATTTTTGACGTTTTCCTAATCGAGGACCAAACCACATACCGCTGCTTATTTCTTGGGTAGTCCTTTTTATACATTTTCCTTCGGTACACGAATGAAAATCGTTGTCCTGCGTTCTATCGTTCGATATACTACCAACGTCTCTCGAATCTTAACAAATAAACGAACGTTAAGGAAGAAAACCAAAAAAAAAAAAACACAGACACAGAAGAATTTTTCATTAGATAAAAAAACAAAACTTAACTTACCGTATTCCGCTGTAGTAGAAAAAGTCAAGAAGAAATAAAATAGAAGTAAGGAATAAGAAAAGGTCCTAGTTGTCCAAGAAAATTGACCAACTTCGAATTCGATCATCGTGCGGTTTTTTTTCCTACTGCCGGCTTTCAGTTTCTTCTTGAACGTCTCGGATGGAATTGCTGAAGATACGAACCCGATCCTCGGGTTTTATACGGTTGATCCACGGGCGTTGTCACGGGTTTTACCCTCACCCTTTTGCGATCTTTAAAACATCGATCTTATAACACGCTAAGAGAGATAAAGAGAGATAGAGAATATCAACCAATTCCCCAGGAGGGTAATCTCGGGTGAGAACGTAACAGCAATTATTCTCCATTTGAATCAAAAGCTTACGGTACGAGAGTTCTCCTTCCATACGAAATAAGAATTTTCTTTTATCTTCTTCCTCTATTCGTCTTAGCGGAACGGTCAAGAAAATGCCAACCAACCCACGTTATCACTCTCGAGTACTCTAGAAAGTACTCGTTATTGACGAATATATATATTTGTGTATCGATTAACGGGGAAATTACTGAGAACTGGTCGTCACATTTGTCGCAACCCCCCCCCCATGCAGCTCGAACAAAATGAAAAAAGCTCTAAAGGCCAAATAATCTCACGGTTATCCAATTCAATTTGTGTGCGATTCGGGGAAGAGAATCGAATCTTACCGTCGGTATATAAAAGGACGTTTCTTTACTTTTATCCGGCATTTCGTCAAAGTTCCTCTAACTAAACGCATTTAATTTTCTTTCTTCTTTTCCACGCAATTCTAGATAAATTAACCTCTTAGGCATTACGTGTCACTATAGTGGCTCACTCTATTACTTCATACTACATAAAGTTTAGCATTTCAGTGTGATACTTTTAACATTTCTCTGAACGACGCGCCACTATAGTGGCTTTTGAGAATATTATCTCTCTGAACGACGCGCCATTATAGTAGCTCACTCTATTACCTTATTCGCTTACCATTTGTGTACTAATTGTATTATTAACCTTTTGAGTGCTATGGACGCATATATGCGTTTAGTAAAAATTAATAGCGTGGTTCTTCGACGCATATACTTATTTGTTAATATTAATGTAAATTATATTCATAAATAAAAAATTTTAATTATTAAAATTATTTTTTTGTTAAAATTTGGTTAATAATAAATTATTCTGTTTCTACAAAACATTTTAGGTATAAGTATTCAGCACTCACAGGGTTAATTATTAACACGTTGACTACTATGTTAACCATAAATGGCTGACAGCAAACATTCTGAACAGGCCTCAATCTGTCACATACGGCTGACACTTATTTTAACGCTTACAAGGTAAATTGCTAAATTTTTCGGAAGATATTTCATAGAATATGAGACTACTAAATTGATTTTAATATTTACTAATATAATTTGAATTGTTATTAAAAAATTATGAAATAAATTATTTACAATGAAACACTTTGAAACAGTTTATATAAAGTTGGGGTTGATCAGTGCAATCTGGGCAAAATGTTGTTGTTTTTTTATATTTTATTTGTGCCTTTGATCGATCCGTATGAAATCTTTTATTCGACATAACCTAATTTCCAAAGTATTTCTAATTTTTTTGCCCAAGAACATTTTTTTGAAACATTTCGTTCTAAACATACTTATCTTTTGTTATAAGAAGATAAACAAAAAACCATCAATAATCTTCCAAAAAAGATTATTTTCACCATAGAATAAGAATGGCCTTTCTAAACGTAATAATTTCTTATTACAATAAGTAATTATTTTGCCAGTATCTTTGTTATACCGGAATTGTTGATTAACGTAGTATGTTATAGCAGCGCAGTGTGGGTCTGACGGAGATTTTTTTAACCCTTTGAATGCTGAATACTTTTAACTAAAATGTTTTGTAGAAACAGAATAATTTATTATTAACTAGATTCTAATAATAAATTATATTTAATAATTAAATATATATTATTTGTTTCTGTGAATATAATTTAATTAATTAATATAAACATAACATTATTTTACATTAATATTAACAAACACGTATATACGTTGATAGACCACTCTGGTAATTTTTACCAAACGCATATATGCGTCTATAGCACTCTAAGGGTTAAAAACTAACGTAGTAGTCAACGTGTTAAAGTAAATTGTTAAAATTAAAGTATATGTGTATCATGTTTTAAAAAAAAAATTAAAATTTAATCATGAAAAACTTCATTTCAATGTACTCGCGTAAAGAACAGTCATTGTTCGTCACATATTGTAATTGTACAGTTTACAAGCAATTCTCGTTGAACCCTGATATACAGAAGAAACAGCAACGCGCAAAATTTAAACCCTAAACCTAAGAGGTTAATATAATAAGCGAGATTATTATTATTATTTCTAAATTATTTCTCTTCTACATCTTTCGCGTAACGGTTTTCTTCTTCTTCGATAATGTCGTCTACAAAATCCGAGAAGCCCTTCCGAAGGACGTAATATTTTATCATGGTTGAAACAATATACAACATCACTCTTTCTCTTTCTTTCTTTCGAAGAAAAAGGTTACTCCTCCGCATATGCGAACCGATGCCCCTTTTTTCCCTTAACATTTAAAGTGGCTCACGAAGCCTCTTACTGCTTGCTTCTATGCATAAACGTGTATTCTACACACACACACACACACACACATATATATATATATATATATATATATATATATATATATGTATGCACTTTGCTACTTGTCAAAGCAAACAAACGTTCGCGCCTGTGTGTTGTTGTTGTTGTTGTTTCGTTTTTTTTCCTCTTTTTCTTTCTTTCTTTCTTTCTTCTTTTTTGTTCGTGCGAGCAAGAGCAAGATAATTGAAACATTCCCACGTCATTAAAATATCTTATGTTATTGGTCCCATCGTTAAAAAAAAAAAAGAAGAGAGCAAAAAAAGAAAAAACTTAGGATCGAAATAAGCGTGAATTTGTTCATTTTTCTATCGTTTTATTTTGACGGATTCGGAGGAGCCGCTTTTGCTTATCCTCCTCGGGTAGCATCACTTTGAGTTGTTACCGAGAATAACCAAGTTCTTTAGGTAACTCGCACACAGGAGTGTTTACACCCCAACGTCCGACTTAGGGAGGTGTTCTGGGATTCGTCATTCGGCATAAGTTTACAAAGATATTCCCACCTTCCTACTGGGTTTCCTTATATACCCCCAATCATTTCGCGATATTGAAGAAAAATTCATCGTCAGTGACGTTGTTGAAACTTTATCGATACGCGTTACGTTTATACCAAGTTGATATCACTTTTCAAATATACAATATATACAGGGTGATTCACCAGCTCTTGCCACCTAAATAACTTCGAAAATATGGTAGTAGAAGAAAATTCGATAAAGAAAAAGTTGTATGACAAATTCAGGACTACAATATGACATTAGTGTATTTTTGCAAGGTTAAGTCATATTTCAGATTTATTTGAATACTTATTTTCGGATAGCGGTTGACAAGACGAATCTAATAATGAGCAACATTAAATACAAAACCTGACAATGATCAATAAAAACTATTCGGAAAATATCTGTTCCGTCTGTTGTCAGAATAACTAAAGTATAACGCAACTCTGACGCAACCCTGACGCGACCATGACGCGGAAGAGCTGTATTGTGGCTGGCTTGTTCGCCAGTTTTTACCTTCGTTGACCTTCAAAAATATTAATGTTGCACATCATTGGATTTGTCTTGACAACCGCTATCCGAAAATAAGTATTAAAATATACCATTGTATTTAAAAAAACAAAGTTGATCAATAAATCTCGAGAATGATTAAATCTAGCAAAAAAATGCTAATGTCATATTGTAGTTCTGAATTTTTCATGCAACTTTTTCCTTATCCACTTTTTTGCTACTATCATACTTTTTGAGATATTTAGGTTGCAACAGCTAATGAATCACCCTGTATATATGTATATAAGTATATAACGCCCATCGATGAAAGAAAAGAAGGGATAAATATACAAAGAGATTACGGTGTCGTACGAATAAACTCTACCGATTGCAATAAATAAATGACAAATTACGTTATGACTCGATCAATTGACATATTTACAAATCAAACTCGTCACAATGTCTATGAAATATCAACGAATATTTTATATACTTAGTCTTCTTTTTATCAAATGTAAAATTGATTAACATAATCTTTATCCAATGATTTTGTCAACTTTCTTCCAATGTTTTCTAACAGATCGTTTTTTTTTTCTTTTTTTCTTTTCTTCCTTTTTTTCTTTTTTTTTTTTACGAGAAAAATAAGTAGTGGCGCCAGGATATCGAAGAAATCCGATACCCGGGGTCACATTTTTGACAATAATTTTTCTAGCTTGTAACTCGGAGACAAAGTCGACATTTTTTTAAAACAAAACGCAGCTAGACTTCCTGTATTTATACTAACACGTGTGTTCATAAATCTCCTTTTAACCTCTTAGGAATGACGCGCCACTATAGTGGCGCTTTCACGGATGTCATCTCTCTGAACGATGTGCAACTACGGTGGCTTTTGCGAATGTCATCTCTTTGAACGATACGCCCACTATAGTGGTTTTTGCAAATGTCATCTTTCTGAACGACGTACCACTATAATGGCTCACTCTATTACCTTACTAACTGTATTATTAATTATTAAAGTAAATTGTCAAAGTTGAAGTATATGTGTGTGTGTGTAATTTCTTTATAAAAATTATAAATTAAAATTGTATCGTTTCTTACATGCAATTTTCGTTGAACAAAAAACAAAAAAAATACCGCGCAAAATTAAACCGTGCCTAAGAGGTTATAATTTTCTTTCTTCTACTCCGTGTGTGTTTATTTGGAAAAAGCACCAATTATGTATACTTTTGATAATAAAAAAAAAAATATACGATGGGTAAACATTTTGTTGGCCAAATTCTTCGTGATACGGCGTTTTTATTATTATCATATTATTATCATATTATCGATTGATATCTTTTACAGAAAATTTAAGGCTTAAAAGTTATCATCGAATATCAGTCCGAGTTAACCTTATAGAAAAGTATTATTCGTTAGAATTGATATGTTTTTTATTTTTTTTGCTATTAACGTTAATAAATAATTACATTGTTTTTATTTTATAATCGTGATAGCTTTCAAGAAGGTTTTATAGAAAAATTTTACAAACGAATTAAAGAGTAAACGGATTCAGTTTAAAAAATGTGTTGTTCGATTATTTTCTTGTTTCCCCTCCTCCTCCTCCTACTCCTCCTTCTCCTCATTTGCGATAAGCTAAATCAACGAGTAGCTTAAAACAACGATCATTTTCACTATTTACACATAAATTTAAAACGCGAATGAAATATTTACACAATACGCGAGAGATCATCTCTTTGACATTATTTTTACAAAAAAGTATTTATATAAATAAATTTGAAAAAAAAAAAACAAATCGTTCGTTAATTTATTATTGCATTTGATTCGTCGGTGATTCTTGCTTCAATTCCAGGGCCCACATGTGTTGGGGCCATCCCGTTCGGCCTTTGCTCTTGGACGATTCTTCCTGCGTTACGTTCGAAATTGATTGCAAACACGTCTCGTTCTGAAATTACAACAAAAAAAAAAAAGAAAGAACGAACAAAAATCACAGTGATTTTTTTCCAATTCGAACTTGAAACGCTATTAAAATTTGTCTTTGTCTTTCTTTTGAAAATTTCGAGGAAACAAATAAGGGGGAAAGAGAAAATCGACGACGATGCGGTCAGAAATAACGGTTTATATTCCATCTCCATCCGATTCGTCGTGGGTGGTAAAACCACATGGAAAATTAGACTAACCTAACTAACCTAATACTTTTATTAAACTTTTATTATTTTAATTAACTCGGAATTTTCGTATTATCAACGCTTAATCGTAACATTTTCTTTCTAACGCGAGTATAAAGTACCCACTTGAATTCGATGTAAAGACCCCCTGCCCCCACCCCACCCCACCCCCTCCAACTACCGTCGATGAATTTAAGGTCAAGAGGCCGATGTTTACTTTGGAGTAACGAAAGATCGGAGTAAAAAAAAAAAAGACAGAAAAAAGAATCTTTGGCTCTTTGGCAATTTAAAAAATAAAAAAAGAAATCCATTATCATCCATAGGGTCCTCTTTTGTGGAAGATTTAGTGACAGAGTCGAGTGAAGGTAACAAATTAGTAGTCTAACGTTTACGAGCAGTATAATAAATCTCGTTTTCGAATTAGAGGAGTTAGAAAGCGTTCTAAACTTCTTCCTCTAAAGAGAGGATGATCGTATTAGCTAGACGAATTGTGTTTTTTGTTTTAGTTTTCTTTTTATTCGTACTTACCTGATTAGATTGAACGTTTTTGTTTCTCCTAGCATTGGACAATATTTCGGCTCGAAAAGTTTGCGGTTCTTCGGTTTCGTCGCTTTCCAACACGGCCATCAAATATCCGATGTAGGAAGCAGCAAGCCTCAAAGTTTTGATCTTTGATAATTTAGTATCAGCTGGTACGTTGGGAATGCAATCGCGTAAATCCGCGAAAGCGTTGTTGATACTCTGAGTACGTCTTCTTTCCTTTTTATTGGCCGTATTTCGACGTTTAGGCCTGACCATTGGTATGCCTTCCCTTTGAAGATGTTGTTGAAGAGATCCGACGCCAACACCGCCGACGCCAAGTTCGACGTTGTTCAACGAAACCGTTGATCCACCAATTCCGGCGGTCATCGTAAAATCTTCTTCTCTGCGTTGATCGTGTTGCTGTTGTTGTTGTTGTTGTTGCGGTTGTTGTTGCTGTTGTTGGTGTTGCGTTTGATGTTGCTGATGCTGATGATGATGATGATTATGATGATGATGATGATGGTGCTGTTGAGGATACAACAAAGTTGAATAATGTTGAGCACCATTCGTCGAACTTGGATGCACGTATTGTTGAAGAGAAGAATAATTGGAATCTTGAACACCGATTTCTTCTATCAAAGGTGGCGTAGAAGCCGTCGGACTTCCCGCACCCGAGCTACCACCTGAGATACCAGAATCCGCCCCCCAATAGGTCGATTGGTTGTCCGAATCGGGACCACTGAGTGGACCTGGAGAACGATCGTACGATTATTTGAACATTAATTTATCGGAAACATTTGATTGTTCATGTTTTTTTTAATAAATAATAAACGTACCGTAAGGAAGTTGGGTGACGTAATTGCAGGGTTGATGCCATTGTGGATAATATTCCGATTGAGCGTCAAATCCACCGAGCATTTTGCACGTTTGCAAAATGCACTTGGAAGGACGTACGATAATTTCACTTGCCGACGACTATAATCGTTGCCAGATTAGTATCGATGGATGCGCTTTCGGATGCAGTCGCGGGGTCACTGAGAAGGAAGATCACCAAGCTAATACTCCCCGTCCAACACTACGTCTCGACATGGAGGCTAAAGCTCTCAAGGTCGTCCGTGGAACGAGATCATGGGTGGGATCGCAAAGGGCGGAGCTCGGTTTCGTCTACGCCTCCGGAGGGTCTCTTCTCTCCCTCTCGTGATGCTGCCTTCCACGAGCCGTTAGCCTCTCCTGCTTCCGATTCAATTAGCAAATTGAACGAACGGGCGCGATACTTTGCGCCCGCGCGCACGCCTATTTTCTTTTACCATTATTATATTCGATTCCCATTCGTACTAAATACTCATATCCGGTGCCACCAGTTGTTCACTTTCCCAACAAACTAAGGGATTTGGTGGTGGTAGTGGAGGTGGTAATATTCCCAGAGGGATCGTTTCTTTCCTCAGAACAACCTGCTCGCATAAATAATACTCAACTTCCTTTCTTGTCACGAATTAACAAATTTGTTTTAAAAGAAATAATTATTGACTTAACTGATCTGTTCTAAAACCGATCAAGTACTTTGATTGCAGCAAAAGTTGAAACTAAGTTAAAAAAAAAAAAAAAAAAAATGGATGAGTCCTGTTCAGTCGATGTTAAAAGGCATCTGGCTTTTTATATTCGAAAGATAAGAGATAGCACTCGTGGATGCATTTAGAACGATCGTGATCGTTCTCGTTACGGCACCGGCGCTACGATTAAAAAGAAATGAATTCCTCTACGTTTTGGTAGAGGCTTTTTTTCCCTTCTTCTTCTTCATCTTCTTCATCTTCTTCTACTACTTCTACTTATTATCACTAGGGAGTCTGAAACTTCCGGAACACCTCGGGTAATACCCCGGACACGAGCAGAGACTTATCCTTTTTTTAGACACTTACTTAGGGTTTCTAAGATAGGACGAGAAAGTGATCGGTCGAGTGGCCGAGGATTCCGTCAAAGGAAAATGCCGTCAAAGATTGCAGAACCACTTATATACGACGATTAATTAATTTCTCGTTTCTTTGATGGCCCCCGCTCTTCAAATTTACCTACTAGAATATTTCAAATTTATATTTTTAAAATCTTCTTTTTTTAGCGTTTTGAACAAAGGCTGAAGTTGAATGACAATCCCTGCTAGATTCGGTTTATACCTTTTTTTTGGTTAGGAGATGATGGTCCTACTTGGAAGACAACCAAGATAGTTGCTTTTGCGTTACCGCGACGTAATCCAGAACTCCTCCTAATCGACCCTAATCGTTCCTAATCGTCCCTAATCTCTCTCACTGTTCGCGTCAACTGTGGAAAACCGCAGAAAACATTCTAACATGATTTACAATCTTGTCTTTCTATATATTAATCATTATATTAATTCATTAATAATAATAGAATAAATATTGGATTCGTTGATTATTAAAAATAATTTAGGTTAGGGTTAATTAGGTCAGTCGTAATTACTTGAGAAACAAGAAGGGGAGAATTTTGTTTAAAGCAAAAGAATAAACAAAGAACGCGTGCCAGTCTCGTGGCTCGTCGTTTCCGGAAGTCCTACGATACGTCGACACCTTGACTAATTATTATTCTCCCCGGTTAAGTAGGCCATTTTTTTTTCCTTCTTCTCGAATAGCACCATTACCACCACCACTTTGGATATGCTTGTGTTTCTGCGCTTTCTCTTCGCACAGCTACCAATATTTATTTATTTTCCCATCGATGACACGTGCTTCCTTCTCCCCTTTTTTTCCTTCTTTCTCCAAAAATTCTAACTCTTTCTCTTTCTCTTAAAATACTCGACAGAAAAACGTAAACTATTCGTGTTTTGGAGGAAGAGGAAAAATAACATATCTTTATATATAAAAATTAAGTATCACATTGTTGGTTTCCAATAAACTTTGAAACTGCTAAATCCGCCACAATACAAAAATGCAAAAAAAAATTAAATTAACTGTATAACCAATTGTTTTTCTTTCTATTTAAATATAAAAATTATTTTATATCATTAATTATTGATTTCAAATAAAATAGTGAGAATTAATAATAATTTCATGATTTTAACGAATACATTTCATTGTAAAGTTGCAGTTATTAAAAAAAAAAAAAAAATTAAATTCGAAAATACGTCCAAAAAAAAGGCCATTGGCGGGTAATGGGTTAATGAAATTTTTTTTATTGCATGTGATTTTTTTCTACTTAGTACGAAGGACAGTTTTTATCGCGATTATTTGTTATTTTTTATTATTTAAAGGTTATCTAGGTCTCTAGGTACTTTTAATTTTTAATAGATGGCAGTGTATTACAATTCAATTATTTTAATTTATTCACGTCTAATATTTTTTCTTCTTTCAAATTTACATATGACATAATTAACCTAACTTTTCATATATTTATCGAGTATTATCATTTTATGTATTTCATTTTAATTGTGGTATTATTTAGTATGTTTTGTTATTTATATATTATATATTMTATATATTAAAAATTTTATATTGTTTTATGCCTAATTTGAGAGAGTTCCCTTAAAATTTAACCAAAGTTAGTTAACTTATATTTACATACTACAGTTGGTAATCTTTTATATATAAAATTTAATATAAATATATTAATCTGTTAACTGGGCGGGACGTATAAATACATCAAACGTATTGCTTTAAAGCTAAAGGTACAAATCTTTGTACTTTATACATATATAAATAAACGAAAAAATATATATCTCTTAATAAGGGCCAAGATAGGGGGGAAGGGGGAACGAGAAGATAGACAGAGTGTGAGTGGAACAATTAGGCATATAAGGGAATAGATGTAAGGAAATGAAGTATATATATGTTATAGTTTTATATAGTCTATATAGTTACTAAATGAGGTATATTGTTTAATGTTGTTTATATTGTTTATATTGTTTTATATTGTTAATATTAATATCTAATATTATATTAGGGCATAATTAGAATTAAGTATATTGTCAAGGGGAACGAACATGTAGGGGGGGCCTTCGGGTAAACACCCTAAAGGGGTATACCTGAAAAATAAACTTCTTCTTCTTCTATATATTTCTTAATCTTTTCATTTATTTTAAACATAAATAATAATAAATAAATAATAAAAAAGCTACGTAACTAAAAAAGGAGTTCCCCAGTTAACAGGTTAATATAAATTACAGTAACTATTTATTAAGTCGAGTTATAAATAACTTCCGTTTTTTATGAGACAAAGAATGGTGTTTCTGCGACTGATAAGTGCAAGACACCTTTCATGGAGTTTTTTTTTTGCACTCTTTGCAATTGTTCAACGTATCTGTTGGATTTTGCTCCAATATTACCTTTAAAAGGTTCATCAAAGTCGAAAATACGTCCTGCACTTGGTTCATCTTTTAACATCGTATCTCCAGAACGGAATTTTACAAACCAGTTTCTGACTGCCCTATCAGTTATCAGTCCTGCCCTGTATACGCTGCATATTTTGTCAGTTGCCACTTTAGTGCTAATTGCCTTGTTTCAATTTTTAAAACATTACATGTCGAATATGCACTTTTTACTATCCATTTCAGTGGTTAAGAAAAACGGTTAAATGTAACATTGACTGGATAAAAAAATTAACAGAAAACTAACTGAATCCTCATCTATATAGTGATATCGAAAATCCGTTTGTTTCTGTGACTTATAGTAGGTAAATACGAAAAATAGATTCTACATAGCCGCATCGGAAGTTACTTATGACTCGACCTAATACATGGCGCTGTATTATACAAATACAATTCAATTATTTCGATATATTAACGTCATGTGTTTATTCAAATTTACATATGACGTAACTAACCTTGCTTTCTTATATATTTTTCTAGTATATTATTATTTTAAATATTGTATTCTAATTGTGGTATAATGTAGTGTGTGTTTTGTTATTTATATATATATATACATTATATATATTAAAAATTTTATATTGTTTTATGCCTAATTTGAAGTTCCTTTAAAATTTAACCAAACTTAGTTTAACCTATACTTACATATTACAATTAATAATCTTTTATACATAAAATTTAATATAAATATATTAATGTAAATTACACAGTAACTATTTACATTATTCAGGTCAAACATTTTATTTTCAAATTTACATGTGACATAACTAACTTAGCTTTGTATATTTTTTCACGTATTATTAATTTATATGTATATTGTATTCTAATTGTGGTATTATTTAGTGTGTTGTTATAATTTACTAAATAGTTTAGAATTATATTAAATCAACGTGTTGTAACAAAACCACAACAACTTGTGACCGTAGTAGCATTCTAGTATAAATATAAAAAAAAAAAATGTTAAACGATTATAGCTATAGGACTTTTATAATAATGTTTCTATCTCTCTTCCTCTCTTTTTTTAGTGTACGAGCGAGCTAACGAGAGAAGAAGAAAAAGAAAAAGAAAAAAAACAACAAAAAAAGAGCTATAGTCGATATCATCCACACACACATTTCTTCGGTGGTCGATTAAAAAATTAATTACTTAACGGAGAAAGAGAGAGAGAGAGGGAGAGTGAGAGCCAGGAGACCGAAGTAAACGCTAAAGTTCCTGAAAGAAAGATCAACGAGAGTAGAAGTGTGAGAGAGAGAGAAAGAGAGAGAGAGAGGAGCAAGAAACGAAGGGAGAAATTCCGGGGGCCATGTGGCGTTTCACGAGATATCAAATCATACCGCGCGTACGCCATGCCGCCCCCTAAATATAGTTTATTGCGTTACCGGGTATTAATGGAGGAGGGCTTCCTATAGAAACGCGAGTCGAACTCTGATCTTCTTGCTCTTCGATAGTACAAGCAAAACAAACTTTTTTTTAAAGAAACAGAAAAAGAATGAGTTATACCTAATCAATTAGAATCAATCTTAGCTAGTCCTTAGAATTAATACAA